ATTAGACACATGTGCAACTCTTGGGTATCCTTATTGATGAAACGTTTCGCCACACAGTGGCTTCATCAGTCCATACAAAGGAGAAACTTGAAGAACAGGAGGAGAATGAGGTAATCAGTCCCTCAACCTTGAGTCGATGTGGTCAGTCCATCAATCTTGAATAGAATACGGCATAAGTGAGGAGAAGCAGTTTATAAACCGTAGGCAGGAGAGGTGTAGCAGTCGTAGGTGGTGTCACATTTGTTCAATGTGGAAGTAGGTCGTGCCCAAGGGTTAGGCAAGCGAAGAATTCCCAAGTATTAAGATCCCAAGAAGTTGCAGTGTCTGACAGAATTGTAGACGAATGGTTCAGAGAACCGACACGTTGATAAATTAGACCTACGACTGTTGCACCTCTCCTGCCTACGGTTTATAAGCTGCTTCTCCTCACTTATGCCGTATTCTATTCAAGATTGATGGACTGACCACATCGACTCAAGGTTGAGGGACTGATTACCTCATTCTCCTCCTGTTCTTCAAGATTCTCCTTTGTATGGACTGATGAAGCCACTGTGTGGCGAAACGTTTCCTCAATAAAGATACCCAAGAGTTGCATATGTGTCTAATTTATCACTGTTGTTACTGTTAGACTAAGGCTACATTATATCTCTGGCAGTACTGTTGTTACTGTTAGACTAAGGCTACATTATATCTCTGGCAGTACTGTTGTTACTGTTAGACTAAGGCTACATTATATCTCTGGCAGTACTGTTGTTACTGTTAGACTAAGGCTACATTATCTCTCTGGCAATACTGTTGTTACTGTTAGACTAAGGCTACATTATATCTCTGGCAATACTGTTGTTACTGTTAGACTAAGGCTACATTATATCTCTGGCATACTGTTGTTACTGTTAGAAAAAGGCTACATTATATCTCGGGCGTATGTTGTTTGTTAGACTAAGGCCTGGTTTTTTTACTTGGAGGATTTCCCCGGGGTCAACGCCCCCGCGGCCCGGTCTGTGACCAGGCCTCCTGGTGGATCAGAGCCTGATCAACCAGGCTGTTGCTGCTGGCTGCACGCAAACCAACGTACGAGCCACAGCCCGGCTGATCAGGAACTGACTTTAGGTGCGTCCGTGCCAGCTTGAGCTGCCAGGGGTTGTTGGAACCCCCCTTTATGTGTGCGGGGAGGCGTTGAACAGTCTGGGGGCCCCCCAATTATTGTAGGGTTCTTAACGTGCTGTGCACCCCGTTTTTTCTTGGGGGGATGGTGCATCGTCTCCCAAGTTTTTTTGCTTTTTGTGAGTGATTTTCGTTCAATTTTTCGGTACTAGTCCCTCTAGGATTTTCCCGGGGTATATAATCATTAAACTCTCCCCCCTGCGTTCCAGGGATACAGGGTTTAGAAACCTCAAGCGCTCCCGTAAATTTAGGTTTTTTTATCCCCGTTATGCGCGCCGTGAAAAATTTCTGTAATTTTTTAGGTCAGCAATTTCCCTGCCCTTTAAAGGTGTGTTTGGTGCAGCAATATTCCCGCCTAGATAAAAAGGGACCTAAAAGGGGTCAATGGGCTTGGGCCCCCCTAATTTTGAAGGTTCTCATTATCCTCCTGCATTTTTCTAGCAGATGCGATTGATACAAAGTTATGGTCCTTGAAGGTGAGTCCTCCGACATGACACTCCCAGGTTTTGACGTTTGGTGTTTCGCTCTATTTTGTGGCCAGAATTTGTTTTGTACTCTGATGAAGATTTAATTTCCTCATGTTTACCATATCTGAGTAATTGAAATTTCTCATCGTTGAACTTCATAATGTTTTCTGCAGCCCACTGAAAGATTTGGTTGATGTCCGCCTGGAGCCTTGCAGTGTCTGCAATGGAAGGCACTGTCATGCAGATTCGGGTGTCATCTGCAAAGGAAGACACGGTGCTGTGGCTGACATCTTGTCTATGTCGGATATGAGGATGAGGAACAAGATGGGAGCGAGTACTGTGCCTTGTGGAACAGAGCTTTTCACCGTAGCTGCCTCGGACTTTACTCTGTTGACGACTACTCTCTGTGTTCTGTTAGTGAGGAAATTATAGATCCATCGACCGACTTTTCCTGTTATTCCTTTAGCACGCATTTTGTGCGCTATTACGCCATGGTCACACTTGTCGAAGGCTTTTGCAAAGTCTGTATATATTACATCTGCATTCTTTTTGTCTTCTAGTGCATTTAGGACCTTGTCGTAGTGATCCAATAGTTGAGACAGACAGGAGCGACCTGTTCTAAACCATGTTGCCCTGGGTTGTGTAACTGATGGGTTTCTAGATGGGTGGTGATCTTGCTTCTTAGGACCCTTTCAAAGATTTTTATGATATGGGATGTTAGTGCTATTGGTCTGTAGTTCTTTGCTGTTGCTTTACTGCCCCCTTTGTGGAGTGGGGCTATGTCTGTTTGTTTTTAGTAACTGGGGGACGACCCCCGTGTCCATGCTCCCTCTCCATAGGATGGAAAAGGCTCGTGATAGGGGCTTCTTGCAGTTCTTGATGAACACAGAGTTCCATGAGTCTGGCCCTGGGGCAGAGTGCATGGGCATGTCATTTATCGCCTGTTCGAAGTCATTTGGCGTCAGGATAACATCGGATAGGCTTGTGTTAATCAAATTTTGTGGCTCTCTCATAAAAAATTCATTTTGATCTTCGACTCTCAGTCTGGTTAGCGGCTTGCTAAAAACTGAGTCATATTGGGACTTGAGTAGCTCACTCATTTCCTTGCTGTCATCTGTGTAGGACCCATCTTGTTTAAGTAGGGGCCCAATACTGGACGTTGTTCTCGATTTTGATTTGGCATAGGAGAAGAAATACTTTGGGTTTCTTTCGATTTCATTTATGGCTTTTAGTTCTTCCCGCGATTCCTGACTCCTAAAGGATTCTTTTAGCTTAAGTTCGATGCTTGCTATTTCTCTGACCAGTGTCTCCCTACGCATTTCAGATATATTGACCTCTTTTAGCCGCTCTGTTATTCTTTTCCGTCGCCTGTAAAGGGAGCGCCTGTGTCTTTCTATTTTACATCTACTCCTCCTTTTTCTTAGAGGAATAAGCCTTGTGCATACATCGAGTGCCACCAAGTTAATCTGTTCTAGGCATAAGTTGGGGTCTGTGTTGCTTAGTATATCTTCCCAGCTTATATCGGTTAGGACTTGGTTTACTTGGTCCCACTTTATGTTTTTGTTATTGAAGTTGAATTTGGTGAATGCTCTCTCGTGACTATATCTCTGGCAATACTGTTGTTACTGTTAGACTAAGGCTACATTATATCTCTGGCAGTACTGTTGTTACTGTTAGACTAAGGCTACATTATATCTCTGGCAGTACTGTTGTTACTGTTAGACTAAGGCTAAGCTATAAGTATCTCCGGCAGTATTGTTTGTATGGAGATGTTACTGGCAGAATCCCGTAGCTCGATCGCTAGAGCACTCAGCTCACACACTGAGGTCCGGGGTTTGAATCTCCTCCGGTACGGCTGAAAACATTAGGATGTGTTTCCATAAGACACCTGCTGTCCATGTTCACCCATCAGTATAAAATGGGTACCTGGGTGTTAGTCGACTGGTGTGGGTCGCATCCTGGGACAAAACTGACCTAATTTGCATAAAATGATCAGCATAACAAGGGGTTTTCTATATAGTAGTATGTTATTGATGTCAGCTAAGCCTGCATACCATGTACTTGTAGTAAATAAAGATATTATTATTATTAACGTGTGTGGGCATAGACAGGGTCATACACTGACCTTGTATCTTAGGTGACCTGGCGGCTAAACCTGTCGCTTCACACACGGAGGGCCCGGGCTCGATTCGGGTGGAAACATTTCGACGCATTTCCTCACACCTGTTGTCCTGTTCACATAGCACTAAATAGGTACCTGGGTTTTAGTCGACTGGTGTGGGTCGCATCCTTGGGGACAAGATTGAGGACCCCGATGGAAATAAGTTAGACAGTCCTCGATGATGCACTGACTTTCTTGGGTTATCCTGGGTGGCTAACCCTCCGGGGTTGAAAATCCGAACGAAATCTTCCTAGTGATGTAACAATGGTCAGTGGTGTCTGACCAAGACGCATTGTGACCTCCGTAATCCTGGTTTTTGCGCTGACGCTCACAGGATGCGCTGCGGGTGCGCAATAAACTAGGCGCTCAGGAGACAACTGAAACGTCTCACAGGGAATAGTTACATCACAAAAAAAAAAAATATGTATATATAACAGTCATTTCACATACTACAATTTCTCCCAAAAGTTGATAAACACAACACATTATGGAGTTACAGTTTTAAAAATATCTAGGTATCTTGTTTTTGTAAAACGTCGGCCGTTTCCCACCAAGGCAGGGTGACCCAAAAAGGAAGAAATACTTCCATCATCACTCACTCCACCACTGTTTTGCCAGAGGCGTTGCCGATACTACAGTTCCAAAACTGCAACACATCAAAACCCCTTCTTCAGTGTGAAGGTACTATACTCTCCACCTCCAGGACTCAAGTCCGGCTAACTGGTTTTCCCTAAATCCCTCCATAAATGCTTATCACCACTATAACATTGGTCATTTATCTGGTAGACGCAAAATGGGGATATTGAATATACTCGTCCAGTCTTCTACCATGGTAGGAGATCCAAAGAAGGAAAACACCTTCACCATAGCTTTCTCCCTAGCTGTTTTTCTTTCAGAAGTATTCAGACATGACTAGTGTAGAGATCCACTCATCCATACCACCATCCATAGGCCTCCTTCAGAGTAAGAGATAACTTCCCACGTCACGAGCAAGGTCATCATATCACTAAGACCCACGTGAGGGAACACTTGTCCTGTTTCGTTACAAACCTAACCTAACGTATCCCACTTTCGGGCAAAGAGGTTGTCTACCCCCGGAAGGTCGAAATATTAATGGAGATAGACAGTAGTGTGCGGAAAATGTTGTGTGGTGTGTGTGCACTGGTGTGAACTACAACGGGCTGAGCTACACACTAGACCAGCCTGCAGTCACCACTTGGCATTATGTAACAGACAGTGGTGTGGGGTGCCTGCTGGCGCCGCCTACCCTCGCGGCCAACACGCACTTACTGCCCACCCACTCGTGTTTTACATCTACAGATCACTTCGTATGGATAATTTTCCCGTTTGTGAGGGCCTTGCTGGCGGCGGGTGTGAGTGGTGTCAGCAGGGCTCACCGAGGCCCGCCTGAAGTAGTTTCTAAGGATTTATAACCTCGCATGAGACAGTATTGGTGAGGCTAGCGCGTTACCTCGAGCAGGTCCGACCCATGTGATACCTGCTGTACACCCTCGTTCAGCACTACACATTAACGCGTTCTCACAACTAAACAGCCTTCGTGTGTCAGAGTGTTCTGTGTAACCAAATTCATGCGTGGAGAGAGTAACTATGTCAGTGTTGTTACAGAGAATGTATCCCAAACACAACCCTGCCAGGTGCCTCTAGAGTGCCAAGGAGAGAGTAAGCTCGGCCAGGTACCAAGTGTATGTGTTACGAAGAAGGAAAGTAACACACAACCAGGCCAGGTACCAACTGTGTGTGCCACAGAGAAGGAAGGTAACACACAGCCAGACCAGGTAGTAAGCGTGTGTGCCACAGAGAGTGTAGGCGACACACAGCTGGAAGAAGTGCATAGTGTCTGTGTATTCTGCTTTGTCCGTCCTTCAGCAAGCCGACATTCATGTCTACCTGGGCTGCTCACGTGCACGTAAGTTATCTTACACTTGTTTAATATTCCTTCAACCTAACAAATGTTACATTGTCTCAGCCGCTGTGAGACCAATCTCTTTACACAGGTACAAACGCGAAGTTCGTGTAAGATGTACTGATTACATGTATATATTATACAACTTTGTAATTATTTATTATTTTTTTTATTATCACACTGGCCGATTCCCACCAAGGCAGGGTGGCCCGAAAAAGAAAAACTTTCACCATCATTCACTCCATCACTGTCTTGCCAGAAGGGTGCTTTACACTACAGTTTTTAAACTGCAACATTAACACCCCTCCTTCAGAGTGCAGGCACTGTACTTCCCATCTCCAGGACTCAAGTCCGGCCTGCCGGTTTCCCTGAATCCCTTCATAAATGTTACTTTGCTCACACTCCAACAGCACGTCAAGTATTAAAAACCATTCGTCTCCATTCACTCCTATCAAACACGCTCACGCACGCCTGCTGGAAGTCCAAGCCCCTCGCACACAAAACCTCCTTTACCCCCTCCCCCCAACCCTTTCCCTAGGCCGACCGCTCCCCCGCCTTCCTTCCACTACAGACTGATACACTCTTGAAGTCATTCTGTTTCGCTCCATTCTCTCTACATGTCAAAAACCACCTCAACAACCCTTCCTCAGCCCTCTGGACAACAGTTTGGTAATCCCACACCTCCTCCTAACTTCCAAACTCGAATTCTCTGCATTATATTCACACCACACATTGCCCTCAGACATGACATCTCCACTGCCTCCAGCCTTCTCCTCGCTGCAACATTCATCACCCATGCTTCACACCCATATAAGAGTGTTGGTAAAACTATACTCTCATACATTCCCCTCTTTGCCCTCCAAGGACAAAGTTCTTTGTCTCCACAGACTCCTAAGTGCACCACTCACCCTTTTCCCTCATCAATTCTATGATTCACCTCTTTCTTTTCATAGACCCATCCGCTGAAAACGTCCACTCCCAAATATCTGAAACATTCACCCCCTCCATACTCTCTCCCTCCAATCTGATATAAAATCTTTCATCACCTAATATTTTTGTTATCCTCATAACCTTCTCTTTCCTGTATTCATTTTTAAATTTTCTTCTTTTGCACACCCTACCAAATTCTTTCACCAATCTCTGCAACTTCTCTTCAGAATCTCCAAGAGCACAGTGTCATCAGCAAAGAGCAACTGTGACAACTCCCACTTTGTGTGATTCTTTATCTTTTAACTCACACCTCTTGCCAAGACCCTCGCATTTACTTCTCTTCAACCCCCATCTATAAATATATTAAACAACACGGTGACATCACACATCCCTGCCTAAGGCCTACTTTTACTGGGAAAAAATTTCCCTCTTTCCTATGTACTCTAAACTTGAGCCTCACTATCCTCGTAAAAACTGTTCCTGCTTTCAGTAACCTACCTCCTACACCATACACCTGCAACATCTGCCACTTTGCCCCCCTATCCACCCTGTCATAGCCTTTTCCAAATCCATAAATGCCACAAAGACCTCTTTAGCTTATCTAAATACTGTTCACTTATATGTTTCACTGTAAACACCTGGTCCACACACCCCCTCCCTTTTCCCTAAGCCTCCTTGTTCATCTGCTATCCTATTCTCCGTCTTACTCTTAATTCTTTCAATAATAAATCTACCATACACTTTACCAGGTATACTCAACAACTTTTTCCCCCAATAATTTTTGCACTTTCTTTTGTCCCTTTATAATATATATATTATTTATATATATATATTATATATAATATATATATATATATATATATATTATATATTATAAAGAATAAGAATCACAGTTTAACAGGTGTTTTCGAATATGCAAAAACAACCACTCTGAAGAATAGGAAATTCCAAGCGCATTTCGGACTACTCACATTATCAGGAATATAGTTTGAAATGTGGGGTATCACGAAAGCGGCTTGGAATTTCTCTATTCTTTTCAGAGTGTTTTTTGCATTTATATATATATATTATTATATTATATTTTTTTAATCGTTATTTTATTTTATATATACTTTTTATATTTGGATTTTTTATGTAGTTAATATTATATATTATATATTATATACGTTTTTATTATATACGATATTATATATTATTTATTTAAAATATTTACGAAAATTTTTATATTATATTATATATATCGATTTATATATATATACGATTTATATATATGATTTATTTATATATATTTTATTTTTTTTATATTTATTTATTTTATATAAATTTTTTATATTTTTATTATATTTTATATATATTATAATTTTTTTTTATTTAAATATATATATATTATTATATTATATATATTTTTTTTATATAAATTATTTATTATTATATTGTATTTTATATATTTATTATTTATTATATGTTTTTTAAAATTTTTATTTTATATTTTATATTTATTAGGGATATATATATATATATTTTTGTTATTATTATATTATTTTTTTATTTTTTATTATGATTTTATTTAGTATTATATGATTTTTTTTATATTGTATATATATTTTTTTTTTTATTTATTTTTATTATATTATTTTTATATTATTATTTTATTTATATTTATTTTATATTTTATATATATATTGTTATTTTATTTTTATATATAGTTATAATATATTTATTAGTATTATATTATATTATATATTTAAATTTTGATTTATTATTATATATATATTTATTATTTTTATTTTATATATTTTATATATTTATGAAATAATTGTTATATATTATTTTATTGATTTTTTTTTTATATATATATTTATATTTATTTAAAATTATATTTTTATATATTATTATATATTATATTTATTGTATTTTATTTATATTTTATGTTTTTTATTATTATGTTAATATATTGATATTATATTTTATATATATTTTTTATTTTTTATATTTATATGTTAAAAATTTATATATAAAATTATTATTATTTATTTTATTGTATTTTATTAAATTTTTTATTTATATTTATATTTATTAATATATATAATAAATTTTATTTTTTATTTAATATATTAAAATTAAAATATATATATTTTTATTTTATATTTAAATTTTTATTATATATGTTTATATTTATTTTTTATTTATTTTTTTTTTTTTTTTTATTTTTATTTATTTTTTTATAAATTTATTTAAATTTTATATATTTTTTATTTATATATATTATTTTTATAATTTTATTTATATAATATTTATTTTTATATATTTTATTTATTTTATTTTTATTTTATTTATATATTATTTATATAAAATTATATTTATTTTTTTTTTAAAATATTTTATTTTTTTTTTTTTATTTTTTAATATTTTAATATTTTATTTTTTTAAATATTTTATTTTTATTATTAATATATTTTATTTAATAATATTTTATAATTTTATATATTTTAAAATATTTATATTATATTGTATTTTTTTATTCGATTTATTTTAAAATATTTATTTTTTTTTAATATATTTCGATATATTTATTATATATATAAATTTTTTATAAATATTTTTTTTATATTTTTAAAAAAATTTTAAATATAAATATATTATTTATATTTTAAAATTTTACGAAAAATTTTATTTATTTATTTTTATATAATTATTTTTATATATATTTTTTTTTAATTTATATTTTATTTTTTTTATTATACATTTATTATTATATTTTTATAATATATTTTAAAAATTTTTTATATATTTAATATATATTTATTTTATTTTATTTTATATTTTTAATAATATTTTTTTTATAATTTATTTATTATAAAAATTATTTTATATTTATATTTATATATTATTTATATATACGTTATATATTTTAAAATATTATATATATATATATTATTTTATTATATATACGTTAAATTTTATATATATTATATATTTTTTAAATTATAAAATTTAAAAATATATATTATATATATATCATATAATATTAATATAAATATATATATATATTATATATTATTTATATATTTATATATATATAAATTATTATATAATATTATATTTATATATATATATATTTTTTTTAATAAAAATATATATATATATTAATATTTACGATATTTATATATATGTGTGTGTGTGTGGGGTGTGTGTGTGTTGTGTGTGTGTTTATGTTGTGTGTGGTGTATGTGTGGTGGGGTTGTGTGTGTGTGTGTGTGTGTTTTATGGTGGGTTTGTGTGTGTGTGTGTGTGTTGTGTGTGGTGTGTGTGTTGGTTGGTGGTGTGTGTGGGGGCGTGTGGGGTGTGTGTGTGTGTTTAGTGTGGCATGTGTGTTTAGTGTTTGTGTGTGTGTTGGGGTTGTGTTTGTGTTGTGTGTTGTGTGGGGTTTTTTGTGTGTGTATGTGTTGTGGTGGGTATGTGTGTGCATGTGTGCGTGTGTGTGTATGTGTGGGGGAGAGCAAATAAGTAAAACTTGCGATTTTGGCTTAAATAGAACGCACTTCTTGCCGAATAACACAAGCAAAAATTTGTGTATGCAATAATTTCGCAAAAATCATTCTGAACCTAACGAAAAAAACATATTTCATCGTGTTTGTTTATAATTAAATTATTGTAAACTTGTATAAACTATATTTGTTGCATTAGGCTAGATTAAACTGCGTTTGTTATAATAAGGTTAGGTAAGTTTTCTAAGTTTTCTTTGGTACAATATCATTAATTTTTACATGAAGATAAATGAAAAAAATATATTTTTAAATGTATAAGAGAAAATTTAAGAAAGGACTTAATTTTAAATGGGTAAGTAAGTTTATTGGGGTATACACAAATACAGTTACATAGAATTATCATACATAACCCAAAAAAGCCAGACAGAGTGACTTATTTCCATTTATGTCCTTGCTAACTGACCAGTTTTACCTATTCGGCACGACATGAGGTTAACATCATAAGTGTTGAAAAGACCACAAAGACTGTGCTCCCCATTTTACCCACGAAGGTAAATTGTCTCTCACATGGAGGATGGCAGACAC